TTTTTTTTTTTTAAGAGCTCTGGCTGTCAGCCCTGGGGCGGCTGGGGCTCATGCAGAAGGGCCATGCACAGCTGGGATGGGAGGGGATGGGGTAAAGGGAGCAGCCGGAGCCCCGCCACCCCAGGGTTCTCCTTTCTCGCCCCCTCAAACCCTCACCAAAAGGCAGCCCAGGCTTGGTCTCTCCTTTCCCCGCCCACAAGTCCCTCACCGGGAGGTGGTAGCAGCAGTGCAGAAGTAAGGGTGGCAATGGGGCGCTAAGTCTGCTGTGAAAAGTGATATTGACAAATATCACTTTTCACATTGCCACCCTTAGTTCTGCACTGCTGCTGGTGTGGCGCTGGCTTCAGAGCTGGGTGCCTGGCCAGCAGCTGCTGCTCTCTGCTCTGCCTTCAGAGCTGAGTGATGGTATATGCACTTGTGGGAGGACATAAGCGACTATAGACAGAAAGAAGGGGGGGCATGGTCAAATACATTTGAGACCACTGCTTTAGGAGCTCTGAGGCCAAATGTTTCTCTGGCTTAAAATTAGAGATGGGTAGAAAATGGTATTCCAGACCCCCACCATTTTTTCCAGTCTGCATTTGGATGAAACCAAGATCTTTAAAGGTTTTTACCCCCCAAAAAGAAAAGAAAAGAAATAGGATACTGACTCCATAGCTCATTGGTTAGGCACTCATCCAGGATGTGAAAGGTCCAAGTTCAAGTCCCTGCTTTTGATCAGATTGAATAGGGACTTGAAGCTAGGTCTTCTTCATGCCAGGTGAGCACCTTAACCACTGGGCCATTCTCAGGTGAGTCATTTGCTCCCTCCCTCCTGGACCTGAACATTTTTTCCCCAACAAAAGTTGTATCACAACAGATACATTCTCATGGAAAGTTTTGGTTTCAATAAATTGCCATTTTCTGACATAAAAAGATTTGTCAGAAAATTCCCAACCAGCTCTACTTACAATGGAGCAACTCTGAAGTCAATGGAGTGCCTTAGTTTGACACTAGAATCAGAATCTCATTCCATAAAACTAAAAGGAAACAAACAGTCTTCGCTTCAGCCGGAAGGCAGCCATAGATCTAGTGCAGTGTATGCTGATTGCCAAAGCACTGCCACTCAAATAACAAAGGACAAACTAATAAGGGGGTGGAGAGTTGAGAGATGTGTAGGAATTCAGGCTTTTAATAGGGTAATCTAAATGATAGAGAGGAGAAGAGAAACAGCTAAAAATGACTTTAAAATAAAGAAGTATCACAGTGTCCTTTTAAAATCCACAATGCCCTTTCAAAATGTAATAAAATAATGACTGTGGATTCTGCAGCATTAGGAAAATTAAGACACGGTGGCACACTCAAGGGGTTGTTATGGATTTGTTTTAAAAAAAAATGTAAAGTGCCTATTTGTAGCACAGCATCTCTTTCTAAAGAAAGGAGCAAAATACTTTATTCCATTGCAAAGTTGCTATGGCAACATGGATACCCATGCCTGCATGCTGAAATTCTAGCTCCCCCCAATCACTTTTATTCTTCAGCATGCTACTGCTACCACTTAGTTGAGTGAATTATCTGTGCACATTTTTTTTCTCATGTTTATCATCTAAGAAAGACTTCTGACTCCTGCTTCTGTTAGGAACAGCTAATATGGTTGTTTTTTAGCTCTAGAGTTTACCTTATCCTTGCAGGAGTTTGTAAGTAATGGCTGAACTATTGCCTTTAGATTTCTTTGTCTTAAATAAAACCCATATGCACTCATTAATGCTGTACTGAGCTATACAATTGCATGCAAATCCAGGGCAAGGGAGAAAGAAATCAGAATCTTTGCACGGAAGTTGGAGAGGTGATTTTGGGGGGTTTTAGTTCTTCAAGATAATATATTGGCTAATAGAAATAAGCACTGTGCCCTGTTTGAATGTTTCTGGTCCACATTCTGCTCTCTGGTGCACTGGGGTAAATTTAGAGTCACTCTATTAAAGTCTATGGAGTTACCAAGGATTCGCTCTGGTGAAAGTAAAACCAGAATTTGGCTCCATTTATTGAGATTGAGCGTTAGATTCGATTGGGTTTGGGTGCCAGGTACATTGCAGACAAAATAAGGCAATACAGTATAAATTCTAGCCGGAGTCACTAGTATTGGCTGCTTTGTCCCACTCCTGTAATGAAAAGCAGCTAGATTGGATTGGGCCTGGTGTACTCTGACACCTTGAAAAATAGATTGACCTAGAGGAAGTAATTGAACAGACTGAATTAAGTTCTGCTTTCAGTCACAGCAATGTAAGGTCTTCACTCTGGGCTCGATTCTCCACTACCCTGGTACTCCATGCAGACATTTACACCTGTGCTAATGTGTATAAAATGCTGCTGAATCAGTACAGTAGTATTTTTCCACCCTGGATGTGCCCGGGGACGGCAATGGTGAGCAACCCCTGTATGGGGTGTGCAAATTGGATAGTCGGGCACATTAACTAAGGACTGGGCACAGTCTATTCATCGCAGAGATGGATTGATGGCTGCATAATTAAGGGGGCCACCAGGGCATCATTCCAAACACTATTTCTACCCACATCTAAACTTGTAAATAAAAAAAAAAACCTCCAATCACCAAACGAAAAAAAGAGCCAATCCTCCTTTGCTCCAGTATTTATTGTGCCTTTTTTTGTGTGTGTTCTTAGACTAAAGCAGATTTTTTTAAAAAATTTGGAATAAAATCGCAAGCATTATTTTAAAGATATTTGCTTAGAAAAAAAAAAACCCTCACATCTCATCTCACATATT